CTTTTCCAACAAGCGGGATTGGCCTAGGGAATTTTAGTGGGGTTTTTAAGGGTAATTTTAACGACTAGGCCTTTACGAATATTTTCTTTTAATTTGGTTTTAATTGATATTTGTTGTATGTTGTTTTATAAGGCTGTTAGCCGCCCTGAGTCCGGTGTGGAGAAGGGCGGGATATAAATCAAATTATAAATAAATAAATAAATAAAAATAAAATAATTATCTCTCTATTCTTATTTAAAATTTTAAATGACCTCACTTAGAGTTTTATCAACACTGGGTGATAAAATATGGTGGTGATACTACACATCTTCATCCCTAGCTATACGAACAGTGCGCTTGAGGCTTTTACCCAGGCCTGGCGACTGTGAGGGATGGGGGAGAACAGATTGTGACTCAACCCTGACAAGATTATGTGACTCTGGGCTTTTGCCCCCTTGGATGTAGATGTAATCTACATCCATTTCATCTACAATTCTTGATGGGATTGCATTTTCCCAGTGTTGGGCTTGATCTCAGCTCCTGCCTGAAGAGCAGGTGGTATCATGGCTAGGAATGATCTTTGTAGATTTGTCTTGTGCACTACTTATGGACCAGGAGTCTCTGCTATCACTCTTGCCTTTATTGGATTCCTACAATGTGCTGTACATTGGGCTGTTCTTGAAGAATTCGGAGATTTCAGCTGCTCTAGAATATGCAGAGATTAATGAATGTGGCTATTACATTTTAGACTTATTTAACATCTCCTAAGTGTTCTACACATGGGCAGGTATGTAAATTTCCTTTTCTTGACAGTACAGATGTATCAATGTGATTAAGACTGGTAATATTTTAATTTTGCCCGAGGATCTTTTAAAAATATTCTAATCATAATCATTTTTTTCCTAGGTAAAGGCTGGTTCTGTAAAGCAGGAATTTGAGAAGCAAGATGAATTGAAACGTTCAGCCATGAGGGCAGTAGCTGCTCTACTGACCATCCCAGATGCAGATAAAAGCCCTGTAATGGCTGAATTTTCTTCCCAAATCAGAGCCAACCCAGAAATGTCTTCCCTCTTTGAAAGCATTCAGAAGGATCCCACTTCATTATCAACAACAGAATCAATGGATCTGAATTAGAACTGTTGGGACTGTTTTGTCTGCTTCTTACAATCCACTGTTTCCAGCGCAGAAGCTAGAAATGATTTTAAACAGGTGTCATTTTAAAAATGACAATTATTTCTATCGAAACCAGTTAAGACTTCAGATATGAGAAACAGCAACCTTATTTTTCAGTTACCATTTATTCCTTAGTTCTGAAATGCACCATTTATTCCTTAGTTCTGAAATGCAATCATGCCAAGAGTCAACCTAATTACACCATTGACAAGTGTTATTTACCGCCCTTTCTATTATTATTATTAAAGTGAAAAACCATGATGTATTCTTAGAAATGATGAGACTGTCATGCTGTATCCCCAAATGAATCAACAAATAAGATGTGGCAAGTACATCAGTTAAATACTGGTGTTCGCGTTTGCTGATATTACAATTAAGTGATTTTTCATGGTGTTACAAGATTTTATAGCTATTGCCCTGCTTCCCTCATCTGAAATTAATATTAAACTACAGAAGTATCTCAACTGTCTTCCAAGTTTGAATGCCTTATGCTTCATGAATGTGGTTTGTCTGCCACTGTGTAATTTTTCTCTTATATAGACCCTCTTGCTAGAATTCTTTTTTAAAAGGAGCTAATACCAAAGCATTGATTATTTCAAAGTATATAAAATTAGCATGTTATCAAGAAACATTCATCTGGTATAAAATATGTAATAATGAATTGGCACCATTCATGTATCAAAATGGAAATACATCTGTAGTGTTCTCATTTTTTTTCGCTCAGCAAGGATCATATTGCTGTCTTGCAGCTTCTGATTACATTTCATTGGGTGGGGGGGGGAAGAGTCATATGCCACTTAATATGTGAATCACTTAAGTGCTCTATTTATAAAACAGGGTGTCCACCTTTTGCTGTACATGCATCAGAAGAAAATAAAGTCAAATATATAAATAATGGAATTTGGTTAATTATTGGTTTTCTATCCAACTAACTTTTGTATGGACGTTTACGAAAAATAACAATTTTGAAATCGCTAGATGTTCATTGTTATGATACAGACAAAGGAAAATGTTAACATACTGGAGCCAAAGAATCAGAATGAAGCCTAATTGTTTCCAACACTGAAACTGAATCAAGTATACAAGTTACAGCGAAATCCAAGTGGCACAATTCACAATAGCTTCAGGTATAGGAACATTCTATATGCTTTGTATGAATTTGAACTTGCCACTCTATACAAGGTAATTTTAAAATCTGGGCTTTTAAGCACGCTTAAATGTTAATGAAACAAAATAGGGAAGCTATTTTGAGAGGACAGAATCTTAATCAGTAGATGACATTTAAGTAATTCGGTTTAATGTACAGCGCCATCTTCACAAGTACCATTGCCAAGCCAGGTATCCTCTATGCTACCCTGTATGTGCATTTCATTTTTGTTCCCTAAATTAAGAATTTTTCATCCATATATATTCATTTTATTTATTTACTAAAATTCTCAGGCCAATTATCTAAAGCAGAGGTACCCAACCTTTTGGGCCCCAGGGACCGGTTCCGTGGAGGTTTTTCCATGGACCGGAGGGGGCGTGGTTTTGTGTGCTGCCTGCATCCCCCGGATGGGGCTTTGCCTGTTTGTGCAGCCCAGATGCTGGCATGCCACGAACCGGCACTGGTCCACGGACAGGGTTGGGGACCCCTGATCTAAAGTATAAAGAACTTGTTAAATTATATTTCTGCCTTCTAGGGTTTCAGCTATACTCCAATCTGTGTCACTTGCAAATTGAATCAAAATTTCTTTCAAACCTTTATCCATATAAGTATAATGTTGAACAGAGGATCCAGATCTGAACCCTATAGCACGTCTCTCAATAATGCTACATTGCTCACAGTAAAGTTTTCAAGCCAGCTATGTGGTACATCCATTTAACTATAATTAAATTCAGCCCACATTGAATTAGCTTGATAATCAAAATGTAATATGTCATTATATCTGAAAATCAATTATGTTCTACAACATAATTATGTTCTACAGCATTCCCACAATCTTTTGGAACTTGTTCAATGAAAAATGTAGGTGGTTAGTCTGGGTGGATTTTCTATTGACAGATTCATTCTGACATCTGGCAATCACCGATTTCCAACTGCATGCTTGACAATACATTCTTTTGCAATGTAACAAATTATCCTATTTGTGCAAATGTTTACGAGCAATCTCACTAATTTTAGAGCTGCCTTGTTTCAGAAATGAGGATTTCTTTCCTGGGGGCACCACCTGGTTCAATTCATGCCAAGAACACACATTTTCCAAATGTTATACTTTTATTAAATATAGCTGTTCCAAGATCAACTATTCATTTTCTTCGCTGCGCAGTCTGGCATTTGGATTGGTAACTTTGATAGCAAGCTGAGCTGCTCTCTCCACAATTATCTTCCGGTTCTTGGATGAAACATTATGAGCAATTTCTGCGCAAAATGACCTAAAAGCAACCACAAAACGATGTTACAAGCTCTTTGTTAATATAGTGAATGTTTCTAAGAAATTTTTCCTCAAAATGATTTTTATGAAGTGCCAGACAGCGGAAAAACTATCTACCCTAAGCAGAACATAAGCTAATCTACATATGCAACACACCTTCCTCCCCCTATTTTCCCCACAATCACCACCCTGTGAGATGAGTTGGGCAGAGTGAGTGACTGGTCCGAAGCCATCCAGCTAGCTTTCATGACTACCTCTGGGCCTTCTAGCATGGTGCCTTTAACCACTAGGCCAAAACTGCCTCTCGTTATTGTCCTGCCTCTGTTAGTGGGGAAGGCAGCAGTGGGCACAGCTTTGGCACTATAGATTATGTTCTCCAGGCTTGGCTGCAAACTCTGGGGAAGCTCAATTTTTTAGCCTTTTTTTCTCCTCAGTTTTACTGGGTGAATTAGATGTGCAAAATGAGTTAACTGCCCGGATTCAGTACAGATAATCCTCGACTTACAACAGTTCATCATTTAATGAATGTCCGAAGTTACAACATCACTGGAAAAAGTGACTTATGACCATTTTTCACACTTATGACGGCTGCAGCATCCCCATGGTTATGGGATCAAAAGCCAAGACACTTGGCAACTGAGTCATATTTACGATGGTTGCAGTGTCCCAGAATCGTGTAATCAGCTTTTGAGACTTTCTGTCAAGTAAAATCAATGTAGAAGCCAGATTCACTTAATAAACATATTACTAATTAACAACTGCAGTGATTCACTTAACTGTGGCAAGAAATGTCATAAAATGGGACTAAATTCACATAACTGTCTCACTTAGCAACAAATCTTGGGCTCAATTATGGTCGTATGCCCACAACACAACTGACTGCTGGAGTCAATCCTATACTATGTCTCATTGGATCTGTTTGGGATAAATATGTCCCCCACTGCCTTGGGATTAGTGTTCAAGATGATGTGGTATATATTATATAATGGGGGCTGAAGAAAAAAATGAGAATAAAATGCAATCACAGCCCACGATTTGTAGTCCTCATTGGTATTTTTCTAATCTTTTAAATACTTTGTCAATAATGACAATATAAAAATTGTTTTCATTTTTCTCAGCCATCTACTTTTACGGTATAATCTTTCAGCAACACTAAAGGATTTTGTAAAGGTGGTGAAGTAACAGAAAAGGACTCATCTTAGGCAGGAAGAACAAGACATTCTGAGGAAGAGAATAACAAAAAAGATACCTAGAAAAGGCTGGTTTAATGGATTACAATTCAGAATGACTTAATTTTACCATATAGCAACGCAACATGGCAGATCGTAAAGAATAATTACATTTTTTCCCAACTTACTTGTTGCTCATCATTAACACCTCCAGCTCTTTGACATTATGAACAAGAAACTTCCGGAATCCTGAGGGCAGCATGTGTTTTGTTTTCTTATTGCTCCCATAGCCAATGTTGGGCATCAAGATCTGGCCCTTAAACCTTCTGCGAACTCTGTTGTCAATACCTCTTGGCTTGCGCCAGTTACGCTACAAGAATTCAAAATCAATGGAAGAACTTTAACATAATGTTTTCGGAGACTGTCATTTTAAAGTCTTGAAGAACCACAATAAACCACCAACCAGAGTATTTTAACGTTAACCGAGGATTTACATTCACAAAAAGTACACCTACCTTGATTTTGACATAGCGATCAGATTGATGACGGATGAACTTCTTGGTCCTCTTTTTGACAATATTAGGTTTGATGAGAGGCCTCAGAGCTGGCATTGTAACTACAGAAAAAATACAGAAGGAATTATGGCCTGTAGGCTATAAATGAAGTATAAACATGTTGCAGAGTATCTTCCGCTTGTTAGCATGTTTCAGAGCCAGAAACGGAATGGGTGTTTTTTGCAACTTATATCCCTCCTGTGTCCAAAGCTGGAAGAGTACAAAAACTCTCCAGATGCGATCCTGGGAGGTTATTGATTTAAAATGTGAGTTCCTGATCTCTCGTTTCCCCATATTT